GAGTTTTTCTGCCGACTTGAGTGAAAGAAAGATACTTGGCTGTGCTTATCCAAGAAGGGCCCCAGTAATTTGCAGTTGTGTGACACAGATCTGAATAATTAGAGGGTTGATCGCAGGGCCTGTGAAGCCTGCACGAGTGCTGGCTAGGGAAGAAGTCAGGCTCGGAGACTGTGGAGACTGCGCGAGGGAGTCCTGGGTCTTTAAGGTTCCACACGCTGAATTGATTTAGTTTGGCAGAAACTACAAAGACAGACATGGAGTTTAGAAAAGCAAAGGCTCATGTGATCACAGCCCTGGCCCCGAGAAGAGGAAATGCTTGGTAAACGGCACCGCGGACCAGCGCCCAAGCCCCCCGCCCCCATGATTTTAAGGTCGTCTGGGATAGGTCTGAACAAAAGCTGACACCCTGAAACAGCCGGCCCTCCCTCCCAGCTTTCTCCCCCTCCTCCCATTCACATCCCCCGGGGGTGGTTTCCTTCAGCGTTTACTCCCTAAGTAAATCTTCATCATGGTCGTTAAACCCAGCCTTGACTTCTCTTCGTTCCCATGGATACCAGATGGCCACAGGCCGCCTGGATCCAGGGGAGGCCCCTTCCTGGGGCCCAGCTGGCGGCTGCCAGGCGTAGAAAGGTGGGGTGATAGCTGTCAGGACGGGAACCCCTTTTCTGGCTCCTTGCATTAGACAGTCTTTTTTCTCAGGTGAGCCCACGCACGCTGCGGCCACAGTTGCACCGGTTCTGACTCGGCCTCACTCGGCGGTGGCTGAGCCCCTGCAGGTCTGGGTGGCGCTGTGACCTCCGGACCCCATGGAAGGCCTCCGGCACTGTAGGAAGCCGCTCACTGCTGGGCGAATTTGGGGAGGTGGGGACCCAACACCGAGGTCTGCCCCCACTGCGGGACGAGACTGAGGCCGGGTTGGCCAGCACTGAGTTCCCAGGAGTGTTGCCCATGGTGTTTGAAGCGGAAGGGAGGGCAGCCCGGGAGGCAGGCGAGCCCAGCCAGAGCCCCCGGCGCTCCCACAGGGCCTTCCTCTCCTTCCGAGGTGACCGGGGCTTCAGTGTAACCCCAAGCAGTGGTGGTCGGTTAAAATACTGTCACATTTTTAGAAGAGTTAAGACAATACCAATTTACAATAGTACAGTTTGCTAGTGAATAGTTATAAGTACTTTCAAATCCCACTCCTGTGTCTTTTCATTTTGAAGTTGGGCTCAAAACCAGTAACACACGGTAAGTGACGGTCACTGCCCTGTGTCCTGAGCCCTGAGCCCGCGGCCTCCGCCCGTGTTGGAATCCTCCATGGACTGCCACGCCATTTCCCTGGAAGTACATAGGACCCACCAATCCTGGAGGAGAGTGGAGACAAACAACCAGAAAAATAAACGAGGGGATTGTGGACAGAAGTAACAGCAGTGCAGACAACGTGAGGGGTGTGGTGGAGAGATGGGGCGCGGGTGTAGGGCCGGCGTTGGGGGCACAGAAGGCCTGCCGAGGGGGCTCCCGCTGGGAGACGGGCCGAGGCAGCACGAGCACCTCTGTCGCAGCAGGAGCCAGTCCGGGCGGTCAGGTGGCTGCTCTGGAAGGTGAGTCGCGCCAGAGTGCGGCCGCCTTCGCAGGGGGGCGGCGAGGCTGTGGCCTTCAGTGGAAGTGGGTGGGTGCTCCTTGGGGGGTTAGCAAGGGAGTGCCATCATGGGGTTTGTCTCTCAAGGAGACCCCTCTAGCTGTTCGCACAGAGGTGCAGGTGGCTGAGTGTGGAAGTAGGGACCTGGGTGGAGGCCACCTTGGTAGGTGAGGAGAAGAAGGAACTGGCTCCGGACCCTGTGCTGGGGCAGCCGACGCCTGCCTGACCGGCTGCCAGGAGGCAGGGGATAGCAGAGCGAGGGTGGGGCAGAGCGGGCTCTCACCACCCCGGGAAGGTTTTCTAAGTCTCGGGCAGCTCCCCCAACGGCCCCATCTCAGCGGCTGTGACCATGAACATTCTCAGATCATGGCCATGGGAGGCAGGTTAAGAACATTGGTGGTGGTGGTTTTTGCGTTGTAGTTGGGTTTTTGAAACATACCCGTCTCCCAGACACCTGGACATCGCCGAAGGATTTGATGATTTCCTCCCATCAGTTAAAGAGGGCCCCAGAGCTGCTCTTGTCGCAGTGGTTCGGTCGGCTTCTTTGGCATCCCCTCAAGTACGTTTTGTTTGCCTGCAACTTAGAGGGAGACCATCAGTTTCCTGGAGGCTGACAGCTGGGCGCTGTCACATTCTCAGCCAGGAATACCCTCGAGAGTCAGCAGGCAGTTTCTGAGTTAAGAACTGTATTTACACAGTTGATTTGAGGATTAGTGAAAATCCTGTCATTCTCTGTGAGCCTGTCAAAAGCCACAGGAGCTGGATTTAATGCTTCAGTCCCAAGCAAAATGCACTCGTGTTACCAGTAAATATTTAATGTTCTCTTTTAAGCACCTTTTCTGACCCATGTTCTAATTGCCTTCAAGTTTATTTTTCAAACCAGGTGATAACTTCTATTCTGAATGAAAATGTCTGGGCTTCTCTGCTATTGAGAGGGAGCTATACTGCTCACTAATGACCGCTCATCAGAGAAAAATCATTTATGTATGCCACGAATTTGTACTACGGCATATTGGGAGATGTAGAGAGTTTAAAATGTAATGCATATTATTTATTATGGAAAAGGGTATTTAATATTATTGGATTTCCTTCTTGAAACAAAATCTATATAACCATGAACTTTTTCTTTCTTTTTAAAAAAAATATATTTTATTGATTTTTTACAGAGAGGAAGGGAGAGGGATAGAGAGTTAGAAACATCGATGAGAGAGAAACATCAATCAGCTGCCTCCTGCACACCTCCTACTGGGGATGTGCCCGCAACCAAGGTACATGCCCTTGACTGGAATCGAACCCGAGACCTTTCAGTCCTCAGGTCGACGCTCTATCCACTGAGCCAAATCGGTTAGGGCCATGAACTTTTTCTTAAACCCATTACATAACAGACCGTTGCAATTTCCTAGAAGACTTAAACTGCTTACGTTCGCTGGTCCTGACCTAGGACGGTTGCCATGTGTCTGCACCCGGTTGTGAGCAGACACACAGGCACTTTGAGTGACGGGGGAGTGGAGGGGTCAGCCTGGCTGGTGAGGGAAGGAGGCCCAGTGAGTACTCAGACCAACAGGGCGGGGTCTGAGCTCAGCTTTCTTTGTTTTGCACTTTACATTCCAAAGCCCGCGTACTAATTGTACAGCCATTACAGGTGTGCATTACTCAGCAAACGCCCGTTTCCTGTGCCTGGAGCTCAGTTATCTCTTCACTGTTGTGCAGGTCCTTGGGAGGAGGAGGAATCTGCCACTCTTACCTGACAGGGAAGGAGTGGGGATGCTGATGGAGGCGTTCACTCTTTTTCGTGGGTCCAGAGTGCGGCACCCCGCAGCTGGCCCGCTGTAGGAGTATTGCTTAGAGCAGCGGTTTTCAACCGGTGGCCTCAAGAATGTTTAACACACATGACACCTGACTATTGAGTCAGGGCACTGACCTCTTCCCCTTAGGTCCGGGCTGGGGAACGTCCGGCCCCGGGCACACACAAGGCCTGCGGAATCATTTGGTCCGGTCCTGTCAGGCATTAGGGGAGAGTTAATTAAATGCTTGACCAAGTACAGCAGGCTAATTTTTAAATTGATCATTTGTATGGCCCTTAAATGATGTTATAAATATCCAAATGGCCCTGGGCAGAAAAAAGGTTCCCCACCCCTGCCTTAGATGGTCAAATAAAAATGACAACAGCCAACACAATAACCGTTCAGTGTCAATGAATAAAAATTATACCTAATTTTTTTTTGTCAGATTGACAAAAAGTATATTTCTTGGTGTGCTGCAGAATTTTAGTAATTAGTTTATGTGTGCCATGAGGTGAAAAAGGTTGGAAGTTGCTGGCTTAAGTTGCCATGTTTTTCTTACATATTCAGAAATCATGTCTCCTTGGCTTCTCTGCAGTCACTGAGGGAGACCCCAGGAAGGTGACTGGCATCAAAGCATGGCTGTGCTGCCCCCCCCCCGGGCGCCCCGCCCCCAGGGGCCTGGCCCTGCAGGCTGGGCCGAGGCCTGAGTGGGTGCGGACAGGCTGGCCCTGCGCTCAGTTGCTTCTCCGAGTGGAAGGAAAATACAACGCAGATGACCATCGAGCACTCGCCTGCCCAGCAGGCCCTCAGCTCGCTGGCTTCCTCACTGCGTCCCTGGGGACCCGGCTGTTCCCCGAGTCCCAGGTCTCCTCTGAGCTGGGGCTGGGGGTGCCTCATGCTCCTGGTCGCCAGTGCTCTTTCCTGAGGGCGGCACGGCTGTGATGGGAGGTGAAGGGGGGTCAGGCCTACTCAGAGAACGTTCGAGAGTGGACCCTGACTTTGTACTGAGGGTGCCGTGCAGCGGGGGTGGGGGTGGAGGCATCTGGGCTCCTCTGGGCTGCAGGCAGGAGGCTGAGTTTGTGTGGCTGGGTGTTTCTGACATCCCGTTGCCGTGTGGTTACTCCAGGATCCAGAAGGCAGGCCCACAGTGGAGGCCTGTTTACAATTCACAAAGACCCTTTCTCACATCATAATTTCCCCTCTGTCCATTGACTTGGCTCCGCTGAGCGTGTGGGCTCTGCGCGGTGTTCCACAGACGGCAGACCCGCCCGCCCAGACGTGCCAACCCTAAACAATCCGGTTACTGTTTAAACAACCGGCGTAAATAACGAGCCCCTCCATTACCGAGAGTATAAAGACGTTTGGACAAGGACGAGTTCTGTGGAGTGAAAGTTTAGGTTAAGCGAAAACATCAGCAGCTGGAATTTGTAGGCCCCGTGGAGAGAGGGTGTGAGTGAAGTCAGCTGCCGAGAGCTGACGTGTGTGTGTGTGTGTGCGCGCGCGGCGCTGTGCCAGGGGCGGCTCAGTCCTGCTTCCTCCCTGTGATTGGTCTGGAGGGGGCAGCCGCTGCCAGAAGAAAATGATTTTTGCCCCAAGTCAGCATGGTCGAGGGGCCAGGTAAGGAGTGCGCTGGCAGGGGGCGTGGCGTGCGTGCACTTCCTGTGGGAGCTGCAGTGGTTAGTGGCTCTTTTCCTAGGACTGAAAAAATAATTAAAGGCAAACCACAAAGGCACTGATGAAGGCGAATTCAGCAGCAAGTAGACACGAGGACACGGGGGAAAGAGCCCCAGTGCTGGCTGGCCCGGTAGCGAGGCCCTCACTCACTCAGAGCACAGGAGAAGGGCCGCGGCTCAGCGCCCTGGCGGCCAGGGCAGGGGTGGGGGACGGGCTCAGGCCACTGTATTCTTGGCCAAGCTGGGAGCTAGCCGAAGGCCTATAAAATCAAAGTGCTTTCTTTACTGGCAGCAGTGAGGTGGGTCGCAGGGCTGTGCAGGGATACGGGGTTCTCTGGTCCGAGGCCTGCTGGAGACGGCCCCAGGGTGGGAGACGGCCACACGTGTGCGCGTGAGGGGCCACACACGTGTGCGTGCCCGACCATCAGAGGTGCTGATCTTGCCTGATGTTTGGAAGTAACATTTGTGTCAGTTTTCACAGTCACTGCAAGTTGAATTCACAGGTTAGCTCTAAGATGACCTACCTGGGGAATCGCCTTTCTTCCAGTCACTTCCGGAGACGCCGAGTACCGATGCCACACACGGAATGAGAGGACTGTAGATTTCAGTAGAAATGAAGTCCAGTAGAGGGAGTGCGGCCGTGGGCCAGGGCCCCGGAGGCCCCTGCTGCGCCCCCTCCCGGCAGCCGCTAAACACACAGACATGGAACGACTGTCGTGGACAAAGAAGTTCTTATCCTCACAGACCCTGCCAGCCGGAGGCAGGCACTCAGGCTGCAGGAGGAAGCAGGCAGGCGGCAGGCAGGAGGAGTGGGCAGGGCCTTTCTGTGGTTCCCTGGGGATCAGTGGCGTGGCTGTGTGAGCAGGTGGGGGCTGGCTGCCGGGTTGTGGGGGGAGGGGAGGATGGTGTGACAGCCATGTTGGTTTGCGTACTGGGGGGCAGCCTCTCCAGGGTCAGTGGGGCCCACATGGAAGACATCAGAAACAGGACATAAAAAGGAGTGATTACCTCAGGGAGGCCTCAGCTGGAGCAGGTTAGAGTCAGCACCAGCCGCCGCCCCGAGAGCTCTCAGCGAGCGTTTGTCTGTTCTAGAAAGACGACTTGCTGAGAAGATGGCCCCTTTATTCATAGTCCATTAACGATTAATCGCCGCGTCATAAGGACATTTGTACTACATTGTGGTTGTGCTTGTACCAACAGAACAGCATGGGAGGAAGAGATGCATAGCTCTGGGGAGCAGCCAGCAGCCCTGGCACCCGCCGCCCCAACCCTCCGCTGCCCCGCGTGGCGAGGAGCTCTGTCCGTGTCTGGACGCTTGGGGGAGAGTGTGGCAGGATGCCCACCAGGCTGGTGGTCACCACATTATTTGGAATGAAAATGTCCACAGACAAGGCGAGGTGTGTGCACAGGGAGATATTCTAAGACTATCTTAGATAGATATGTGCATATATTCTCATAGAAATCGATTTTATTTGCATTGTCAGGATTGATTTATTTATTGGACTTATTTGGCTATTTAATTGGAGCACAGAAATGTGTTTCCATGCTGGGTGTCAGAGTTCATTTACTTTACAACATGCGTTACTTGTATGAAGAAAAAAGGAGCTAAATTATTGTGGGAAAAAAAACGATGAGAAGAACTTGAGGCCACAGCTGGCCTGCAGACTTCCATTGTGTGCTGGCCTGCCCTGGGCAGACAGAGGGTGCGCAGGCAGGTCGCCCTGGCCCCCCGCACACATTTGTGTGTCATCTTCCCTTTTACACGACTCGACTGGAAAAACAAATCATCTGGGCCGGTTGCACCTGCTGCTTTCTCTTCTTGAACTTGAGGTGTCACAGTGTCTCGTTTCCAAGCGCTGGAATCTGGTGTCGTTTGGAGATGGGCCTCAAGTGTCAGCTTGGGACCTGCGCCCTCTGCCCCTGGCTGTGGGGCGGAGTATGCCACCCACCGGGACATGCTCCACACCCCCCTTCCACGGTGCAGTGTCCATGCTGGCTGCTGTCTTTCAGACTATCGACCCTCCTGACTCTTAATTGTTGCTTTGGAGGACACAGGGGGATTCTAACCAGACCTCAGAAATGTACGACCTGCCGGGCCTCAGAGTTCATTTCCTGTCCGGGTCCCCCTCCCAAGGAGGAGCCGGAGGGCTTGGTGTGGAGACATGTGGCAGGACTGCAGACTCACCAAGAGGCTGGCTGACTTTTAAGAAGAACAAGGAAGGAGTGAGCAGCTTCCAGAGCGGTGGGTTTTAAGGAAGCTCAGGGTCAGCCCAGCACCCCTCCCCCATCGTCCAGTCCAGGCCTCTCTCTTTAAAAAAAAATCCTATATAATAAAAGCCTAATATACTAAGTGACCATTCATTTAACTGTTCGACCGGTCACTATGGCGTGCACTGACCACCAGGGGGCAGATGCTCTGACCGGTAGATTAGCTTGCTGCTGAGGTCTGGCCGAGGCAGGCTGGACATGCCCTGGAGCCCTCCCACGGTGCCTCCCTAGCCCCGATCGTGCATCAGGGGCGTCCCTCAGCCTGGCCACAATCCAGGACCCCTCGGGGGATGTCCACAGGCCAGGATTCCTACACCGGACCTCTAGTGTATATATATTTTTTATTATTTCAGAGAGGAAGGGAGAGGGAGAGAGAGGGAGAGATAGAAACATCGAAGATGAGAGAGAATCATTGATCAGCTGCCTCTTGCACACCTCCTACTGGGGATCAAGCCTGCAACCCGGGCATGTGCCCTAACGGGGAATCGAACCATGACCTGTAAATTGTTCCAGGAGTAACAGCCAGGAGAGAATGGCAGCAGCACGAAGCAGGGCTGGGAGGCGCCAGGGCCGCCTGGGGCATCTGCAGTGGCCTCTGCCTGCACCTGCACGCTGTTTGCACGGAGCCACTGCTCTTTTGAAAAGATACTGTATTCAGCCCTGGCTGGTGTTGCTCAGTGGTCGTAGTGAAGGGCCTCAGGTTCAATTTTCAGTCTCGGGGCAGGTTTGCTCCGCCCTGTTGGGTGGGGGGGCGGTGCGGGAGAAACTAATCATGTCTGTCTCCCGCCCCTTCCACTTTCTCTAAAAATCAATGGAAAAAACATCCTTGGGTGAGGATTAACAACAACAAAAGGTACCGTATGCACTTGCTGTTACTAAGTGCCACGGGCTGGGCAGCTTAAACGAGACCTTTATTGTCTGAGATCACGGTGTGCACGGTGCTGGTTGCCCCAGGCTCTCCCCGTGTCCTCACATGGTCCCTGCGTGTCTGTGTCCTCACCTCCTCTTACAAGGGCACCGGTTGGATGGGAGTAGGCCCCCTGGTGACCTCATTTTGCCTGATTACCTTCTGAAAAATCCTGTCTCCAGTACAGTCACATTCTGAGGTATTGGGGGAGGTAGGCTTTCCACACATGGATTTGGGGGGACAATTCAGCCCATTGCAGACGCCAGCCTGAGAAAGCAGAGCCGTGCAGGCCATTCTGTCCGCATGCTGGTTGGTGGCGGCAAGCCTGCGGGGCTTCTTCACCCCTTCCATCCTGGTACCCTCTCCCTCTGCAGAGTGGCAGAAGAAGGCATTTGGTGGCTGCTTCGTGTGTGTGGCACACGCCCTTCACATTCCTGCTCTAGGACGAGCTTGGTTGTCACCATGAAGCGAGGGTTGGTCCCAGAGAGGCTGGTGCCTACACTCCTGAGCTTCAGGAAACCACTGTGTCCGTCCAGGTTTGCGAGGCAGCCTCGGGCAGCGTGCACGGCTCAGCCAGAGCTGCCTCACCTGGTGTGGCTGCGGGGTCGTCTTCTGCCTGTCTGGCACTTGGTCACTTCAAAGGTCAAACCAGCTGTCTTGGTGGCCGAGTGCTGCTAGGAGCTCATAGCACGGAGTGGCTGGCGTTTTAGCTCTTGGGGCATATTATCAGTTTTACCAAATGGCCACCAATGGTGTGTCTGAGAGACACTCATCAGTTACAGCTGTCCGCAGACACTTACTGGGCTGGGGACGCAGTAAAACCGATTCCTGGTGATAGCATTCCTCCGATGAAAGTTGACATTGGCCGAGAGAGCGCTGGCGCCGGCCTTGGCTGCCAGGAGACCACCACGAGGTGCTGCCACGGCAGTGGTTGCTGAGAGTGAACCACCCTGGTGAGGGCTGGCCTGCGGGAGTTTGGTTTTGGCCCAGGACCCACCCTCTTAGTTTAGCTGCACACAGCCACGAGGCAGGCCTGCTCTTCTCCTTCATGGCTCTCTCCACTCCTCCTTCCCTCTCCTTGTCCTCCCCATCCCAGAGGTCTCCCCCCTCCCCCTCCCACAGCGGGGGTGCGGCCATTGGGTCCTCTGGGGAGCCTGGCAGGTCTGCGTACAGCCCAGCATGGGATTCTGATTCCAGTGACTGGAGAGTCCCTGGGGCTGAGAGGAGCTCTTCCCAGTGGTGGGGTCTGCTTTGACCTTGGACATGATGAAGGGCAGACACCTGACACTTCCACGTGACTGACTCCCGTTGAGACAGTTAGATGTCCTCAAAGCTGTTCACACATGGAACCACTTTTTGTACTAGTATCTTCAGGGAAGAAAACATAAGTGTCTCATTTGTCAGCACATCTCCTGGTATCTTCTGTGAACTTGGCAAGTGTCCTCCGGATTCCCTCCACGCACAGCCAGGGGTTTCATTCTGGGCAGTGAGGGGGCCGTCTCCTGGGATGCCTTGCGGATGTCTGCAGGGCCCTCCCCGCACGGCAGCACTGCCCAGCCCCTGCCCAGCCCGGGCCAGGCCGCAGCCCCCTCCTGGGGAGAGCAGAGTGTGGCTCTTTCCCGCGCCTGCCCCCTGAGCATCGTGGCCCAGCTCTTACCCATGTTCTGTTCTGATGGTTTCCCTCTCAGGTAGGAGACAGGGCTTGCATTTTGGGGTTTTAAGCTGCACAGGTCAGGCCTCGAGCTCGGTGCAGAGGGTGAGGCCCTGAC